AGCCCTCTTGAAGCTGCTCAATAGAGATTGAGCATCACAAGCACCACCACACAACCATAGCTGTCACACATGGTACAGATCTGTCTGACCTTTTCAGAGGGCACTACAAGTCCAAAGAAAACATCAACTACTGCCACTGCAGTAACCTGTCATTCAATTCAGGTCACTTGTGACCAACAAAGGCTTCAAAACAACTACAGACCCACATTAAAGGGTCAAACATACCTTTACACCATTCGGCCACTGTAAACACAGCCTGTTCTTGGACCTTTTTCCAAGAACCAAGGCTACAAACAACCTAGTTCTCTAGGTTCTGATCAGTCCAAGCAGATTTTGAAGGCTTTCAACCCAGAAATACCAACAGCACAAAAAAAAGTTGTTTTTTTTCTTGAAAAATAGTCAAGTTCTGCGTAGAGGAAGAAGGACTGAAGTGTTCTCAGACCTAGGTTGATTTTGTGTTCTCCATTTTCAGCCCAGAAAGAAGAAAGAAAAAAAATGAGGTCACGAACAGAGAGGAGCAGGGGAGGAGATTTAGTGAGCAACATCCTGCTCTAATACCATGTTTGTCCTGTAGCTACATTAGTTCGAACCAAGAGAAGAGCAGCAGCAGCAGCAGAAGAAGAAGAAGAAGAAGAAGAGAACAGTCGAACATGATAGCCTCAACCCTATCAGTCGACCCTAATATGGATTAGCCTCTAATTAGTAGTACAAAGACTAAACTGCCCCCACTTAAGTATGGGACAGGAAGTCTCTATTAAAACTGCCACATAAACACATAACTTAACAGAAATAAAATGACTAATCTACCCTTATTTGGCTAGCTCTAACAGGAGTGATGATTTGTGTATCAAACTTTCCCCCCTCAAATTCCTTGTCCCTTGCTAAAACTTTCCTTGTTTCTAAACTTACGAYCAACCTTATTTCAGTTGGTCAATTAGTTGATGAAGGTCACGTTCTAACCTTTTCCTCTTATGGTTGTTTGATTCAGGACCAGTGCATTGGGAAGGTGAAAGAGAAGGAGCGTAGGATGGGCCGCTTGTTTGCATTGGAGTTTAAGAAATCTCCATTAGTATCATCCTCTACTTATTTGAGCTCTTCTACATTGAGTCCTGTTTTGAGTCAGAGAAACTATGTCTAGGATTTGTGACATAAATACCATTCACTCATCGAGTTGAACATGCTACTTCGCCTTTTGAAATTATTCATAGTGATGTTTGGACTTCTTCTGTTGTTTCTCAGATGGGATACATTTATTTTGTGCTATTCATTGATGATTGTACCGGGTACACTTGGATATACTTTCTCAAACACAAATCAGAAGTTTTTCCAACCTTTAGGTTGTTTCATAACATGGTTCGAATTCATTTCCAAGCGAATGTGCAAACCTTACGCTCAACATGTTGTATTCGTATTTCTCGAAATGTGATTTTTCTTGAGCAGATCTTTTTTTTTTTTTTTTTCAGGAATTGCCAAGTTATATGCATCCTCTGTTTTAGTTTTGCATGACTTTGAACCACAGGATACTCCATCTACTGCTGAGAAGGAATTCTAGTCTTCACTCGCAAGTGGGTTCGTGGTCTAGCTCCTACGCCTACGACCCCTCTTCCTCCTGGTCCGGATCCCTCACCCATCACAGGCAACCCTATAAGTGATGCCTCAGTTTTAGATTCCTTAATTATTCCTCCTGTACCTTTATGCCATTCTACTCGTCTCTCTAGACCACCTGACCGCTATGGTTTTCCTTCAAACCATAGCTCCTTCTCTTCTGTTTTGACCTCTACAGATATTCCTCGTTCTTACAAGCAGGCTAGTAGCAGCCCTCAGTGGCAAGAAGCTATGGATTCAAGCCTTGCATGAGAATGACACATGGGACCTTGTCCCAGCACCTTCAGATGGCTTTATTATTGAGAGCAAATGGGTCTATTCCATCAAGCTAAAACTTGATGGGACTCTGGATCGTTACAAAGCTAGGCTTATGGCACAATGATATATGCAAGAGTATGGCATTGACTACGAAGAGACTTTTGCTCCAGTGGCCAAGATTACTACAGTCCGTGTTCTTTTAGCCCTCTCTGCTGCTCATTGTTGGACGATCTTTCAATTGGATGTGAAAAATGCCTTTTTACATAGGCATCTAAAAGAAACGGTATATATGAAACCTCCTCCAGGGTACTGTAGCGATCCCTCCCTCGTCTGTCGGCTAAAGAAGTCCCTCTATGGGCTCAAGAAAGCCCCTCAAGCTTGGTTTGAAAAATTCAGAGATGTTGTCGTGCAAGCCGAATATAGCTAAAGTGCATCGGACTACTCTCTCTTTGTCCGGAAAAGACCCCAGGGCCTTACCATTCTCTTACTATATGTGGATGACATATTGTTGACTAGAGATGATATAGAAGGAATCTAGGACCTCAAGTCTCTTATCCACAGTTCCTTTCACATGAAGGATCTCGGCCCTCTTAACCATTTCTTGGGACTTGATGTTCAACGGAGCTCCCGAGGTTATTTTGTTGGCCAACACAAGTATGCCTCTAATCTTGTTAAGTTGGCCAACCTCACTGATGATAAACATGTTGATACTCCCTTGGATCTGAATGTCAAATTATCCAAATCAGAAGGCTCCCTACTTCCTGATGCTTCCCTCTATCAACAACTTGTAGTGTCTCTCATCTATCTGACCATGACTCGTCCTGACATCTCACATGCAGTTCAAGTTGTTAGTCAGTTTGTCTCTGCACCTCGCCAACCTCATTTGACTGCGGTGCATCGAATCATTCGTTATATTCGAGGCTCTTTATCACAGGGCCTTTTCTTCTTTTCATCTTCTTCTCTCCAACTGAAGGCCTATGCTGATGCAGATTGGATTGGATGCCATGACACACGCCGCTCCACTACCGGGTGGTGTGTCTTCATGGGTGACTCTAATTTCATGGAAATGCAAGAAACAACAAACTGTTTCCAAGTCCTCTACGGAAGCATAGTACAGGGCAATGTCATTTGTTTGTAGTGAAGTTGTTTGGTTTCAGTCTTTATTTCAGGAGTTGGGTCATTCCTCTCCTACGCCCATTCCTTTGTATGCGGATAATACTAGTGCTATTAAGATTGCCTCTAATCCTGCCTTTCATGAAAGGACAAAGCATATTGAGGTGGACTGCCACTTTTTCCGTGACCTGTTTCTTGCAAACTCTATCTCTCTCCCTCATGTTTCCTCTAACATGCAAGTTGCTGACATCTTCACAAAGGTCCACCATGGTTTAAATTGCCCATAGATTTCCTAATATTTCCACAACATATTTCCATTTCCATGATACCAACATGAAATATTACTAGAATTGACATATTCCTCAATGAAAGCCACTAGTTTTGTGTGGACCACAAGAAATAGTTTTATAACATAAGTTGGAAATAATATTTTAGATATGTGGAGTAGCAATGTTATTGCCCACCTAATGGGCATGATTACCACTTTGAGTCAGCTTGAAATTCTTTTTAAACATAAAGTTATATCTTATTATTTATTGTATAATAAATTATTTGGTTGATCTCTTAGAATCATTTGCTTCTTTCTACGAGTTTAAATTTTGATTGAATTCACTCTATCATGTAGTTTTGATGGTTTGGAACAAGATATTATTTTAAATGGTCTAGCTATGCATCTTATCATTACATAAATAACATTCTATACTTTGATACATTTCACAATGTTTCCACCATATCTATTTTTACAATATTTCCATATGTTGTTTCCATCATTTTTGACATGTTTCCTGTATTTGGACAATATTTCCACCAACACTGACATTTTAAACCTTGTGCACAACAACGAAGACTGAATCATGTCTCCTTTGTGCACGTGGCAATCCAAGTACAAAGGCCATACTAATGTCTTCACAAGGAGCTTCAGGGACTGGTGAAGGCATGTAAAGTCCAATATTCTGTTGCTAGCCTTTAGCCGTTTGACGTGTGGCACATTGTTTGATGAAGTTTTTGGATATCTCATTGTTTGTTTGATGAAGTTTGCCACATCTCTTTACATTCTTGCCCAATACTAGTGATCCACCAGCAAGCCAATGGTCTTGTCTTGCCCTTCATAACCAGCTAGAGACCATGCATCTGTTTCTGATAAAAGTAACTTTCTCAAGGATGCATCTGATATGCACATCCTGTTACCATGAAACAGAACTTGTCATGAAATTCATAATAGCCGTGATGCCATCCATTCTTCAAATCTATCCAAAATCTTTATCATCTACATATTAGTTTTGTGAAATGTTAAAACCAATTATTTTATCCCTCATAGAAGTGAGCAAGTCAATTCTTCTATTGAATGCATTACCTTGTGTTTAGGGCTAAAGGTAAACTCTTGCAAGAAAGCAACCCATTTGGCATATTGCTGGCTTAGCTTTTGTTGACTATTAAGATGCTTTAAGGCCTCATGGTCTGAATAGAGAATGAATTCATGTTGTATCAAACAATGTCACTAATGCCTGGGCTTGCACAATAGAGTAGAACTCTATACCATATGTGGCATACCTCAGCTTGGCAGCATTTAACTTTTCACTATAAAATGCTATTGCTCTACCTTCCTGACTTAATACAGATCTAGCACCCACATGGGATGCATCACAGTCAACTTGAAAGATCTTCTCAAAATCTGGTAGTGCAAGAACCGGTGCTTCAGTCAGCTTCTTTTGATGTCTTCAAAACTTTTTTTGTGTTGCTTGATTCCATGTCAAATTCTTCTGTTTAAAACAATCTACTAGTGGAGCTGAAAGAGTGTCAAAATTTCTAATGAATCAACAATAAAATGATGCCAATCCAAGGAAACTTTGTAAATCATGTACACTAAATGGAGTGGACCATTCTTGAATAGCTTTAGCCTTCTCATCATCAACACAAATTCCATCAACACTTACAATATACCCCAATAGTATCACTTCTGTAGTAGCAAAAGAGCAGTTCTTTGGATTAGCATATAGCTGCTCCTTTTCCAAGTGTATCAAAGATAGTTCTGAGGTATTGCTCATGGACAGCTAATTCTGGACTGTAAACCAATATGCATCAAAATAAACCACAACAAACTTCCCAAAATATAAACATAGCACCTGATTCATAACTCGAACAAATGAGCTAGGTGCATTAGAGAGTCCAAAGGGCATAACCAGCCATTCATACAGCCTTTCACGAGTTTTGAAAGTTGTTTTCCTTTCATCAGCAAGTCTGATTCGAATCTGGTGATAACCACTTAGGTGGTCAATTTTGAAAAGATTTTAGCCCCAACTAACCACTCCTCGTGTTCTTTAGCACTCATAGCTCATGATATGCAGCCTTGTTTGGGAGGCTGGAGTCTGGTACCAAATAAATACGGTGCTATGCATTCCTCATAGAAGATAGTCCTGGTGGTAGTTCATCAGGAAACAACTCCTTATATTCTTCTAGCAAGTGTTTCAATGGGCTAAATGGTGAGAACATAGCTTGGTCCTTCTTTCCATGTAGTAAGAAAAACATGTCATCCTCTTTGGTGTCTTCTAGAAATTCAGCATGGGTCATGAGGGCTATATTTACTGTCTTAAAAGATTTGGCACACACCCTTTTCTTCATAGGTCTTAAACAAACATTATAGTTATCTTTGTGAAAAAGTGTATATGTTTAGATAGTCATCATGAAGGAACTTGCAATCAAATAGCCATGGTCAACCTAATATCAAGTGGTAAGCATCCGTGCCATGAACCACATCACACCATACACTGTCTTTGTAATTCTTTCCCATAGTAAATGAAACAAGACATTTAGAGGAAACAGTTACCTCATTGCCTTTTTTGAACCAAGACAGCTTGTAAGGATGGGGATGCTTCTGTCTTTAGTTGAAGCATGTCTGCTACCTTCTTTGAGACTACATTCTTGCAGCTGCCACCATCAATAACTACTCCACACACCTTTCCATTAATGGTACAGGTGGAGTAGAAAATGTTGTTGTGAAGCCCTCAACTGGTGTAGCCCTTGGAGAAAGGAGAATCTTCTGCAAGGTAAGGGTTTCTTGCCCATCTTCATAATTATCATCTTCTCCCCCTTCTTCCTCATTGGCTGAACTTTGAGAGTATTAGCCTCATCATCAGCTTCTGGCTTATCTTCATCTTCATGGTCATATGTATTTAGATTATTCTTTCTACAATCAGATGAAATATGGCCCCATTAATTACATTTGAAGCACCTTGCTAACCTTGCAATTTAAGGTCTTCGCTCTCCCATCCCCATGGACATAATTGTCATGATTTGTTGGGATCTTCTTTGTTGTTGTTTTGGGCTTTTGGTTATAGTTTTTCACACTTTTGTTTTGTTTGAARATGAACCAATACCTTCCAATCATTTAAAAGATGGACCAACACCTACTACCCCTTGTCTTAACCTGACTTCAATAAGGTTAGCCTGTCTACAGGCCTCTCCCAAAGTGTAGATTGGATATACAACAAACCTCGCAACTAGCTGATCCTCAGTTTCAGCTAGATTATTACAAGCAACTAATTGCCTAAACTCTTCAACAGATCAATTACCTTGTTGTAACCTTTGAAGGTTTCTGAACAAGGTTTGCACATAATCAATGAGGAGAAACGTCAAACTCTTAATCTTTTCCCAAGTTCTCACCTTAGATTTTCCCCATCCTTCTCTTGTAGCCTTGGTCTATTCCCATCAAGCTGAAGCATCATCTTTCAGCTTCATGGCCACGACTTTTACCTTCTCTTCAGGAACTTATTGGTAAATCAAATATTCTCTCCACAGCATCCAACCAATTCATGAAATCATCTCCCTGGTGGCTGCCATGATATTCTGGGATTTCAAGCTGAACCTTGAAACCCATGGTTTGATGATTTTGGGGAAGAGGAGGTGGAGCATAGCTGGATTCACTTCCATCAGAATTTTCATCTTCTTCCTTATAATGAGAATCCACATGATTAGCCATTCAACTCATCTGCTGAATTAAAATTCTTAGTTGATCCTCCAGCATTTCAACTTGATTTGGTAGGCCTTGCTTGCCTCAACTTCTGCCTCTCTGGTTCATCATGCACTTGACTATTGGCTGGTGAAGAGGTTATTTGGCAGAAATGTAGGCTCTAGTACCAAACCTGATGCAGTGTTCTGTGTGGATAGAACCTGCACCTGTAATTGCTTCAATCCCAGAGCCTGAATTTGGTATAATCATAGATTCTCCAAAGAACCATCAATGGTTCAGAAGGTGAAATAGAGTTGCAGCAGGTCTTTAATGTTAAAACCAGGCAATTTCTGAATTCGGATGCAGAAACTGAGAGAGAAATGTCACCCACAAGAAAGCATAGTTGGGCAACAGGAGATGCAAAGTTGAAAACAACAATTGTAGAAACTAGAAATGACAGTCCAATAAATCAAGTGCTGGACTGTAAGATTTCGTTAACAACAATAATAATACTTAAATAGGAGCTCACCTATTAATGCAGTCACAACTTACTATGTCTCCAACAACTTATAAGACATAAGACTATTAAATGCATTGTCAAACTACTAAACTAGACATAAATATGATATTAATGACAACTTTGACTCCAGCAATGGATCTTCTAATGGACCTAACAACTCAGAGACCCATTTCACTAAGCAGCCCACAACCCATGGATCTGATCTTGATCGCCATCACCAGTGCCTGGGCCGGACTGGCACACAAAACCTTATTAATAAACAAAGGAGATAATCTATAAACAAAAAAGAAGATAAGGAAAGTAAAAAGGAAAACACCAAGAAATGCAACTAATCGAATGATAAGAAGACTATTTAATAATCAAAACAGGTGATGATCCAACCTGGATTTGGTACCAACTTGTGATATTTGAGTTGCCATCTTATTAAAACAATAAAATGTTGAGAGAAAAGAGCATGAAGATGAAGGAGGAAGAAGAGAGAATGATGGAAATAGGGTGTGTCTAAACTGGTTCACACAAACCCTAGTAAATGGCATTTATATGATGAAGATACATTACAGATTTAGCCCTAATCAGGCACCTCCTTAATAGCTTGAGTACAATGACATAAACACCCTAGCTAACAATAAGCCAGCTTTTAACAATAAAACAACACTCAACAAAAATCATGACAACCATTTATATAATAATCTAGACCACTGTATACAGCATGGATAACTACCTCTTTTGTATTATTTTATGTATTGGAACTTAGACAATTTTTGCAGTGATATTGATTTTGATTGAGATGGTTGTTTGAAACTTAAATGGAAATTCTTTGATTGAGAAAGTTATTCTTTAATGAGAATATCTTTCCATCTTTCCACAAGCATGGAAAGATATCTAATGACTTTCTATTGAGGATAGGGTTATTAATAACAGTACATGCAAAGTGCATGAGCTAATCTTTCCACAAGCATGGAAAAGGCTTAAAAAATGCATTTGACGATGTTATTGATCTCTTATTCTAATTTGGAAATTTCTTACTTTCCTATCATTTTCATTTAACCATGCAGGTAAAGATGTGCTACTTGCCCCCACTTCCACGTCGTAAAGAACTCATTGCTGAACTAGGACCAATCCATGCGAGATTATCATGTGAAAACGTTATTGCTAAAAAACACCCTGTATATAAGTGCAATGAAGTGCAGGTCAGACTCTTCTTTATATAAATATTTATAATGTGCTGAATTTTTGGGTGCAAGGGTATTCTTCTCTTTTTGTTCTTTTGTATTTGGGTGCCCATATGAGGGCTTTCTTGTTCTCTTAATAATATAAAATCTCAAGTTTGAGAGACTGAATAATAACTCTCTCTTCTCCATGATGGAAGGTTTAGAATCCATCATATGGATGGTCGAACCATGCCAGATGGCTGGGTGAAATTTCAAAAATTCCAGGTCCTTTCGAGAATTGTATTCCCTAAGTTTTGAAAAACTGCATTTTTCTAGGATCGGTCTTGCACTGAACTAGACCAGATTTGAAACCAAACAAAGAGGAGATGTATACCTGATACGGATACCACAAGTGTAGATCCCAAGGTGGAAGTTCATGCCCAAATCCATTCCTAAAACTAGCTTCCACTGAAGATAGTGCAGCTTGATCTTGAAGTTGGTTCAGCAAAACCGCAATCCAACTGCTTGGATCAAACTGGGCAGGTGAGCACGAAAAATTCTCTGATTTTTTCTTAATCAGAGAGAACTAATCTCTATCAGTCCCAAAAACTGTAATCGAACTAGAGTTTCTTGGGAGACAAAAGAAGAAGAGAGAGAGCAGAAATTGACAGGTGTTCTAGACCAGTTCGCCCTCTTCTTCTTTTATCTCTTTATGGAGCACTTCTCCTAATCAAATTAGGAGATTATCCAAATCTTTATTTGGATTTGGACTCTATTGAGAGACAAGTTTTATCCTCTTAAGAGGATGGGTGCTCCATACCCATTTCCAAACCCAGATTCGCCCCATGTCACATGACAACTTAAGCTATCATGTGGCATCTTAATTAATCATATTAATTATGGGCCTTAGGCACATCAACTATATGGCTCACGACCCAAGAGTGTTGCTTGGCCAATTTAGGTTTGATTTGTTTGGCGTGGAACCCCACAATGACCTCACATAAGCCCACATGGGTTCGGCCTGGCCGAATCCACTACTAAACGCAGTGAACCCCTTAGCACATCACTATGGGCTCAAAATGGGCCCAACATTTACACTTAAATGATCATTGAATCCAACCATACTATGAAGACCCAAGGATAATGGACTTAAGTAAAATAAAGCCCATCAGGTAATCAGCCATTAATGGTCTCTTRCACTTAACCTCTCAGCCCATAATTATCAAACACTACCCGACAGGGAAGGACTCTCCCTTGGCTACAAGGTGCAGTGTCACACTCTCTGCTCGGATGGAACCTGAAAATTAAAACCTTTTTGCAAACACTTTTCATAAAACATGATATATATATATATATATATATATATATATCATAAAAATATATTTTGCAAAACCAAATCTCAAACACAGTTGAAATGCACTGCCGACAGTTTAGGTTTCCATAAGAGAGAGTGAAAAACCCGATCATTCACTTTGTCCGACAAAGGGGCCGATCCTATCACTATGATCACCCACGTAAGTGAATTCTTAGACTGTCCCAACATACCCTGGTTTTGACCCACAAAGGATCTCACTAATTGGCATATCAAAGACAATCCAATCCGACACCTAATGTAGTACCATAATCAAGTCTAGGGGTTATGTGTAACTTTCTAGTTTTGCCCATCAATCTCCAAGGTCTAGGACATAACTGAAAAATGGTCCAGGGTCAGTGTTTCAACCAAACACACAGTGTCCAGTTTAAGGGGTAAATTCACAGAAACATACTAATATCAACATGAAACAATAATGTACTTTTAATCATTTAGAATAAATGTATCTGTACATCAATTTGATTGGAGCTAAGGGCATACACTGTCTAACACTCCATTTGTAACTCCCTTTTTCTCTTCTTCTCTTCTCTTCTCTTCTCTTCTCCTCTTCTTGTTTTCTTTTTCAATAAAACCTCAGATATTGCAACTTGGTATCAGAGCAACTAGAAGGGCTTGGAAGAGTCTTTCTCTATTGATTTTAGATGAATTTTGGTATAAGTCTCATTGTGGTTTGATGCCTCTATGAATTTTCTAAGTTGTTTTAATATTTTGGGAATGACAGGAAGTGGTCCCATATTTTTCTAAACCTTAAAAAAATTTTTGGAGTTTTCTTCTCCCTTTATTTTACCACCAGCCAGCTTTTTGGCCCCTTTTCTAGCCTTTAACTGAGTTTGACACTTTCTTTTGGGTTTGTTTGTATTTCGATTCGGTGTTGGGGTGCTCATTGGTTGTCAAGATAGTTGTTTGTTAGGTATGGAATCACTAAAGGATGTACAGATGGGTTCCAATGTGTTTCCTAGAAATGTTGGTGTTTCCAATGGTATGATAATCATTGTAAAAGTTGGACCAACTTTTTTAGTGTGGTCCCAATCAGCTAAACTTACTATCACAAGGAGAGGTAAGTTGGGATTCATTACAGGCAAGGAGGTGAAGTTGAAAAATTGATGGCCCTAAGTTTGCAAAGTGGGAACAAGATAACTTACTGGTAATGTCTTGGCTGGGCTGTTCAATGCAACCTCACGTTCCCTGTAACTACATGTTCCTTTCAACTGCTATAGATATTTGGGACAGGGTTGTCACCACTTACTCACAGGTTAACAATACTATATTTCAACTTAGGAGATAAGCTTGTAGTATGCGTCAGAGGGAGAGAACAGTGGCTATGTATTTCTCCTCTCTACAATCTCTTTGATTTCACTAGGCAAATATTCTGAGTACGGGCATTGTCTCTCTGGCTACTGCTTATGTGCAAGGGGAAGAAAGTAGAAGGGCAGCCATGATGCAACCCTCTGCCTTTATGTCCTCTAAGCCCAAGCCAAGTGGTAGTAAGCATCATACTACGGAGAAGTCTGATGATGTCATCTATGAATATTGCAAAAAGATGAGGCATACTAAGGAAAGATGTTGGAAACTCAGTCCTCACTTGAAATTGGACAAGTTTAAAATTGGAAGGAAAGGAAATGCTCATTTGGCCATAGTTGGTAACGAGGATCAGTCTTCTAATGTGGCCATTCCCTCTTATGACTCCTTTGACATGATGGATAAACTTTGGAGTCTTCTATTGCACTTGGAAAAGAGTATGGCATCCTCCTCGTCTGGTTCTAGTAATCCATCCAGTGCATATGCTAACATAGGTACTGCACTTGCTTGTTCCACCTCCAGCCCATGGACTGTTGACCCTAAGGCATATGACTAGTATGCCTTCACACTTTACTCCATATAAGTTAACCCCTGGGAAGAGCAAGATTACTGTTGCAAATGGATCTTAGACCCCTATCTTGGGTCAAGGAGAAGTCAAAATTACCCATAACCTTTCCCTTGGATTTGTTCATGTTCCTCGGTTGCATTAAAATTTATTATCTGTCAATTCTCTTACCAAGTCCCATAATTGTTCTATAACCTCTTTTCCTACCCATTGTGCTTTTTAGGATCTGAGCACGGAGAAGATGATTGGAAATGGGCATGAAATTGATGGAGTCTACCTTTTTGATGAAGCTTCAGAATATGGATTGTTGAGCCAAGATGAGTCTTGTTCTAATGAGAAATTGAGCTTTTTGCAATTATGGCATTGTCGTCTTAGTCATATGTTCTTTAGGTCTGCAAAACTTTTGTTTACAAATTTGTTTAGTTCAATGTCTAACTTGAATTATTTATCCAAACAATGTAGAACCACATATTTTGTGAGTAATAGAAGAAGTAATGTTGCTTTTCATTTGATTCATACTAATGTTTGGGGCCCATATACCATTCCGTGTGTGGGTGGGTATAGATACTTCATTCTCTTCATTGATGACTACACTCGATATACATGGTTCTACTTGATGAAACAACATGATGAAATTCCTATGATTGTTCAAAATTTCATATGGTAGAAACCCAATTTGATAAAAGAATTAAGATAATAAGATTTCATAATGCAAAGGAGTACCTTGAAAACCACCTTCAGGTGTTTCTTGAAGAATGGGGCACTATTCACCAGAGCTCATGTAGTCATACTCCACAGAAAAATGGGGTTGTTGAGAGGAAGAATAGACAAGTGGTTGAAATTGCTCTTGGGTTACTGTTCCAAACTCATTTTCCTACTTGTTTCTGGGGAGATGCTGTCAAGATTGTTATCTATCTTAATAATCGACTACCATCAAGAGTGTTAAACCTTTGTCCCCCTCACCAGCTTCTTCCTGATGAACCCAGTAACCCACATTCAATTTACCTCTCAAGGCTTCGAATGTGTTTATTTTGTTCATGATACGAGTCCATCAAGACATAAGTTTGATCCTAAGTCTTGTAGAGAAGATGGGTCGAATGGCCCGTAGGCTGTTATTCTATGTTATATGTATGTTCTCTATATTGGGCCTTATTCTGGGCCCATACTCTTCTATGCTCTGTTTTTTATAATTTCTTGTCCAACCAAGGACCCCTCTATATCTGCTCTGTTGTTCGGTTGTTGCTGGCCTGATTTAACTCAGAGATTTCTGGGTTAATTTCTTATCTTGTTGGACTGCCAAGTGGCTGAAACTTGTTTAGAATCAGTGGTACGAGTCTCTACTTCAGTTCAGTTACTTCTTGGACCYATACGGAGTGCTCTTGAAGTGATTCCTACTAGTTAACAGTGGGGTGTTGACTGCTGCATACGTAGTGTTTGTAAAAAGGCCTCTTAAGTATTGTGGAATGTATTTTGCTCTCTTTGGGGCAATTATTGTTGGGAACCTAGAATCCCTAACTAGAAAGGAACTCCAATCGGATACATAGTGTTTGGAGGTCTGTTGGTTGTCTCTTGAAGGCTGAATCAGGCCTTCTTCTTCTTGAAAGAGCTGCCACTGAACTTGGTTCTCGCGGCTGTCAGGTCTGAACTGAGTTTGTGAGTTGCTGTGTTTGTTGCCAATTCAACTCAATCTAAGTTCATCAACAATCAATACACCAGTGGAGGCTTATCGAAACCCTAATTGAAGCTTTTACATGATGGACTTCTCAGATATTGAGAGCAAGAGTACTGTTGAATATGGACATA